GCTTCCAAAACCCACTGAGTCCGTGCTGGGGTCTGAGGGCGGTGAGGCCCCAAAGCAACCGGGATTCTTAAAACGCACTGCAGAAAGGGTGATTCCTTATGGTGGGCTTCTCTCCGGTGTTTTTAACCTCGCCGCGAGCAGTCTGGGTGCGGGCATTCTCGCCCTGCCCTCCGCATTTAACGCTTCCGGTATTGTAGTGGCCACAGTTTATTTACTCGCCATCTACCTCTTCACAGTGCTGTCCATGTATCTGTTGGCAATTACGGCCACAAAGACCGGCATTCGCGGCTACGAGAAGACGGGTGGCCAGCTGCTTGGGCGCGGCGGAGACATTTTTGTTGCGGTGGTCATGTTTGTGAAGTGCTTTGGTGCGTGTATCGCGTACGTCATCTCGGTTAGCGACCTCATCTCAGCCTTTATCACCGACGACACCGTGACTGGGTACTGGAGAACGCAGAGCTGGAGGCGCGTTCTCACAACCATCGTTTTTTTCCTGTTCATGCTGCCTTTGTCACTGCCGAAGCGAATAAACTCCCTGCGGTACGTATCAATGTTTGCGGTGGTGTTTATTGTGTACTTCGTTATCACCATCGTTATCCACTCTGGGATGCACGGTTTCAAGCACGGGTTGCGGGACGATCTTGTTCTTGCCCGGGGCGGGAATGAGGGTATTCGAGGACTTGGCATGTTCATGTTCGCTTACCTGTGCCAAAGTAATATGTATGAGGTTTGGAACGAAATGAAGCCAAAACAAACTCCGTCCCGAATGGCTTCGGAGACGGCAATCAGTATGATTATGTGCACGACATTGTATTGGCTTGCTGGTTTCTTTGGGTACGCGGAGTTTGGCCCAGGTACGACCTCGTCTGTTCTGAAGATGTATAAACCGTTGCACAACGCAATGATGTTTGTTGCGTACGTTGGCATTGTCGTGAAGCTATGCGTGGCCTTCGCGCTCCACATTCTTCCTTGCCGTGATTCTGTCCACCATATTTTGGGCTGGTCGCTGGACACCGTGGCGTGGTGGAAGAACGCGCTGCTTTGCACCATTTTGTGCGGTATTGCGCTTATTGCCGGCTTGTTTATTCCGAACGTCAACGTTGTATTTGGCCTGCTTGGCTCACTGACAGGGTCATTCATCGCGTTTGTCTTTCCCGCCATCTACTTCATGTACAGCGGCGGCTTCTCGTATGCCAAGACCGGCTTTTTCCTCTATACCTCCACGTATGCGCTGCTCATTGCCGGCGTCGCTGTCATCTGCTTCGGAACGGCATCAACCATCTTTGCTGTGGTTAAATGATCTTGTGTCGACATTGTGTTGTTTTGTACGAACGTGTTAACTCTTTATCTCTTTGTGTGTGTGTGTAAAGATGTGGTGGTTTCTGCGGAATTCCGTTTGGATTTTCTAATTCTGGATGTCCTCTATCGCAGGATGGTCTTACCCGGTGCCTCTGTGTGGGGTGCTCTACTCTTCGCCGCCGGAGGAGACGTGCGACACGATTGAATTTACCGCATTTCTGCCTCTGAACACGTGTTTGTAAGGAGAAAGTCATGAGGAGACGGAGTGTGTATATATATATATTTTCGTTGTTTTTGATTTACACAAAACGTTTGATGAGTGCTTTTTTTTCTTCTTCTTTCCTCCACTGATTTGCTTGATTGCTATTCCACTTACCTGATTTCAATTTTCGCGTCTGGAGAACTTGCGCAGTTGCTCGTAAAAGCCGCGGGAAAACATATGATACCGGGTTGGGCCAAACAGAAGACGATGGCGCGCTGTGTTCAAAGTGTCCGGCTCTTTATTGATTTTTTTTCCGGGTTTTTGCTGTAGAGCGGAGATCGAGAAGTGCAATTTTTTTTTTGTGTGTCTGTTGTTGTTCTTGCTTTTCCTACTAGTAACATCCACGCGGAGAGGTCCGTCGGTTGCGGGCCTCGACCCACTCCAAAGTTTTGAGTCCTTGAGAGGAACGCTTGCCCGAAATGGCCCTTGGAACCCCCTTGCATTTGGTGGTGTGAGTGCTGGATGAGGCTCTTCTTTTGTGAGAAAATCTGTGTGTGGACGGGCTCACACTGTGATTTCTTCATTTCGTTGTTGTTGTTGTTTTTTTTAGCAACGGGGGACAGGACCACATTGAGTGTCGGCGTGCTCTGAAGATTTAATTTATCGCTTCCCCCAGTCTCTCTGCCCACGCTCTGGCGGCACTGAGCGGCTGTAGGAATTTGTGTGTGCCTTTATTCTAAATTTTCTGTTACCGTCTGCCCTTTCCCTTGACGAATAGAGGAACCACAGATGGAAGAGTAGCAGAGGAGAAAATGAAATAGAACTGCGAGCGACGAATATTTTTATTTATGAATTTTTTCTTTACATCTTCTGAAACTGATTTCTTTTCCCCTTTTTTTCGTTTTACGCCATACATCTTCAGTGGTTT